TCTCTAATGTAATAGGAATGGGAGCGAAGTTAGCCAGTCAACCATAGCTCTACCAGAGATTGGGTCCTAATCTTATTTTTGAAGTTGTTTAGTTCAACTCCTGAATTTTACAGAAGAGATACAGTATCAACTTATAATTCATTTGTATGTCTGACATCCATTTCTCCACTCTGAGTACACACACACACACACACACACACACACACACACACAATTTTAAATGTTTTTTAAAAAAGTAAAAAAAACAAAACAAAAAACAAACAAACAAACAAAAAAAACAAAATCAAAAACCAGTAGAGCATAGCATTTTGTGCCTGGAATCCCAGCACTGGGGAAGCTGAGGCAGGAGGATTGCTATCAGTTTGAAGCCAGCCCGGGTTACAATGTGAGACCCTGTTCCATTAAAAAAAAAAAAAAAAAAAAAAAGCAAATGAGGCTGAAGGACTGGAGAGATAGGTCAGCGGCTAAGAGCATTGACTACTCTTGCACAGGACCTAAACTCAGTTCCTAGTACCCACATGGAGGCCAAAAATGATACTTAACTCTGGCTCCAGGGGATCTGAAGTCTTCTTCTAACCTCTGCAGGAATTGCATGCACAAGCTGCACTTACATCCATGTAGGTAGTGCACATATACACATAAAATAAAAAATAACATAAAAATTTAAAAGCAAACAAACCAGAGCTGGAGAGATGGCTCTGTGGTTAAGAGCATCGGCTGTTTTTGCAGAGGACCCAGGTTCGATTCCCAGCACCCACATGGCAGCTAACAACCATCTGTAACTCCAGTTCCAGGGAATCTGATGCTCTCTTCTGACCTCCGTGGGTATTGCATGACAAGGGTGCACTTACATACATGCAGGCAATATACTCAGATACATAAAAAATAATAAAAAATAAAAGCAAGCAAACCATACCTTCTCCCACCCTCACCATATTATAATGTGCACCCTTCAATGTTTCTTGTTGTATTGGGAGTAAAATGAACTATTCTTCCTATGCTTACAGGGTCCTGCCTGACCTGGACCCTGGCTCCCTTTCTGACCACCCACCACGACCCTCTTCCTTGGTCATTTCTTTCTTTCCATGGGGATCTTCTTTTGTTTCCTAAATGTAGTTAAGCTTGTCCTTGCCTTAGGACCTATGCATTTGTTCTTAACGCCTGTCAGTCTGCTCTTCCTAGCCTCCTTTTTTCTCCGTTCTGGAAGTTTCTTTCTTCAATGATCCCTCTTCAGAGAGGCTCTTCCTGTCTGCAAATCAGTTTGTCACGATCTTCTTTTTATCATTATCTTTTCCTGGACTTAGAGTGCACAAGATATGTATCACCCGCGCCTCCCACTGGAGCATGTGCTCGGTCAGCTCTGTGACCTCCTGTCTTGTTCCTGGGTATCCAGTACTAGGATGATGTCTGGTCCAAAGCTGAGGCTAGGCAATCATTTGTTAAATGAATAAGTATCTTCAGACCCTTAGCAACGATGACTTGTGCAAAGAATGCTGAATTCTTACAGTAACTGGCTTTCCACTTCTTGGGGGGAGGTCCAAAAACCTGTGCTAAATATGTCTATGAGGTGCGTGGAAGTCACCCTTAATCCTATCATAGAGAACTCTGAATTTATGAACCTGGGATCCTGTGTACCCTGAGACTGTTCTAGTAAGGCAAGCTCCACGTGATGGACAAGCCCATTCCGTCCACATGAAACTAGGGAGAACTGGGAGAAGGAAGGAGGAGACAGAAGAGCAAGGTAGAGAACAAAGGACAGATAAGACCCGCATTGCTAGGACATGTCCAGAAAGCATTTATTATGTAAGGTAGGATTACAATAGGATTCTAACAGCAGCGACAACCAAATCACCAAGATGACAGTTACTATTCCCCCCCCCCCCGCAATAAAACACTGCAGAAACCGCGAGACCCACGGAGTTACTGGGATGGAGGGACAGGCACGTGGAAAGCGGGCAAAGGGTGGAGTTTAACGTGGGATGAAGGAGTACTTTATAAACAGAACTCGCTGTTCATCAAAGAAAATCTGGAGGAGAGGAGGGAACAAACGCTTATTTTTCTGAAAGAAATGCCGTGGTCTGAATCTGGAGGAGGGATTTAACTAGCTGCGCCCTCGGGATCCTTGCCTTGCCCAGGCAAACCCGCAGAGGCTCCTGCTTTCCTCTAGCCACAATAGATCCAGAAGCATGCAATCATTGGCTTTGATTAAAGAGGTGGGTGGTGTGGGCGGGAGGCGATGCGAGCCGCTATGGTGCGAAGAGGCGGTGCCTAGCCCAGGCAAGAAACCAATCAGCGATGACTCTGGCTTCTTGCAGGCTCCTCAGCAACTCTGCAGCGCTGGAGACAGGATGCTGGCAGCCTGCTCCCGTGCCGCAGGGGCCCAGGCGATGCGCCTCTGGGGCTTTTGCAGACCCCTGGCTCGCACTGCCTAGCGCTTCTGTTGGGACCCTTGCCGGAGTAAATCCAGAACCGTGATTGCCAGTGGCCCTTTGGAGGCATAAGGTCGGGGAAAGAGGCTGAGGGATGCAGGACCAAGGGTGGGAGGCGAGTAGGCGACTTGCTTCTCAAATTTGTCCCAATTAGCACCAAGTTGGCAGACAACCCACAAACCCACGACGAAGCCTTCGGTCTCCCCATAAGTCATATAATATTCTGATCGTTGGAAAACTTCAACTGCGGTGGTAGGTTCCAGAGGGACGGACACTTGGCACCACTCCCTCCCAGTGACACTAGGTGGATGAAACCCAGGGATCCTGAGCTGGGAAGCGCTAAAGAAACTCTGCACCCTTCCGAGTGCAGCTGGTTTGGGGGGAGCAAGGTGGGCCCGGCAGAATCCTCTGGCGGAAGGGGGAAGAGGCGCAGGATGCAGGAAGATTGCTGTGCAACTGCACAAACACAGACCCGGTCCAAGGAGTTCTGCCAGGGACACCACAACCTGCATTGCGTCGGACCTGACCATCCCCAATGTGAAATTCCCAGGGAAGGTCGCGCACAGCTAGGGGCCGTGCGTGGGCGGGGCTGCGGGTCACCGGGGAAGTAGAGTTGGTGGTCGCTTTGGAGGTGAGTGGGTGGGGGAAGAGGTTGTGTTGGCAAGGTTGGGAACTGAATGACAAGCCACCCCCTCTTATTTTCCATCTACCTCCTAGCTCCTACCCTCCCCCGCCCTCCCCAACCCACGCCCGGGTGGGCCAATCGCTGCTCCGCATTCCAGGCGCTTTCTCAGGTTTCTGCTGATCTTGCAGTGCCCAGAAATGGACCGAGAGGACCCGCGGCCGCACGCTCCCTGCCCCACTCCGCGCTCCTGAAGGTTCCCGGAGCGCCGCGGAGCCTCGGAGAGGTCCGCGCTGGGGCGCGGAGAGCCATGTAGAGCCAAGCTTTCTGCCGCTGGTCGCCCTCGGGATCGAATCCAGGGCTCCCGCAGTGTTAGGAGGGGGAGAGAGTGCTGTTTATCGCCATTTGCCTGGGCGATTCAGGAGAGGCTGGCCTTTTTTTGTGGTTGCCTTTCCGCCCCGTATCCTCCGGAACTCCCAGCACTGGAGAGAGAGGACCGCCGCGTCTCCAGGTTGCCGGCAGCGGGTGAGGATGGGGGTAGGGGACGGACCTTTCCTCCGTAGCTGCTCAGTACAAAGATCGTCCCTCTGAGCGAGGAAGGACGCGGACGGCGAGTGGCGCCTCTCGGATGCTGCTGCGGTGGTGGCCTCTGCTCCTTCCCCGGTACCGTAAAGACGACCTGCCGCATTCCGACTCTGGCTCTCGGTGGACTCAGCATTAACCCCTGCGCCAAACCGGCTGGCCAGGTAGGGGGCTCCCCAACTCGGGGCTGCAGAGGTGAGGGTTGCGGGGGGCTGGGAGGGGGAGGCTGAGGATGCTGCGGGGATGCTGCCTGGGACCAGGAGCTCTCCAGTTCCTCTCAGCGCTTGTCCGATCTCCAGTCTAAAGAAGTTGTAAACAGATCGGCTATTGGACATTGGGGAAAGTGAGGTGGAAGAGCCCCAAACTTGGATTTCTGGGTGTTACTGTGTGTCTGTCTCGTGTGTGTGTGTGTGTGTGTGTGTGTGTGTGTGTGTGTGTGTTAACCCCAGTACAAGTCCGCTGTGTTCTAAACAAGCTAGCAGTCTGTGCTCTTCGGTGTCTGTAGGCTCGTGCCATCCGAATGCTTCTGATTTTCTACCCCCCCCCCCCG